TTTTATTTTCTCTCCTATAAGATGAGGGAGATGACCTCTTTCTCTCAGGATGTCAGGATAAAATGAGATCACATATAGAGAGTGTAGGCCATACTACTTGGCGTAAAATAGGTTCCCCAATGAATGTTAATTCTTTCCATGCTGCACGAAGTAGGGCAGGGTAAGCGATATAACATCCATCACCCCTGTTTCTTTTCTTTCCTCATGTCTCCAGGTCACGGAAGACACTAGACATGCAGAAATGTCTATTTTTGACATTTTCACAATGGTATGGGGACAGAACATGATAGGGTAAAAAAGTAGTTAGCTAGAAATTCAGGCAAGCAAATGAAGAACTGGCCAGTCTTTAATAATCCAATCAGCACTCAATAAACATTTATGTAGTGCTGACTTTGTGCTAGAATCTGTTCTAGGTTATGAAGTTACAAATACAAAAGGCTGCCTCTGCTTTTAGAGAGCTCTTAGTCTAGAAGGAGAGACAAACTGTTAAAAAAGTAGTTATAAAACTGTATAAGAAGTTCTGAGATAGAATGAAGCAGAGATTGCTGTGAGAGTATGTAGGAAGAAAATAATTCCAGCTAGTGGGTTCAGGGAAAGCTTCTTTTAAAAAGTGACAGGTAGAGCTAGGTATTAGATGATTCATAGAGAGGAGGATGAAGATGGATGAAAGGGAAAATTGTTAATATAGGAAACATCCTATACAAAGCTATGAAGGCTTGAATATATGTTCTGGCATCTAGAAGATGCAAAGTATTCTAGGGTGCTTGGAACATAGGCTTGGGCTAAGTGTAGGGTGAGAAAATGATTTGACTTTATTTAGATGGCTATTGGGATCATTGGCTTAAACAGGGAAGTGACATTATGGTCAGATCTATGGTTTAGAGATTAATAGGGAGACCAGTATGGAAAATGAATGATAGGGAATAAGATGAGGCTGGAGGTGGGAAGAAGAGTTGGGAAGAAATGTAGTAGAGAAGAGAAAGAGGAAGGGGCTCAGTAAATGGATTTATGGCACATCAGATATGGGAGTGTTGGTGTGCAGGGGCCTTGGATGATTCTCAGATTTCTGATTTGGGGACCTTGACCATGGGGCCGTTCACCCAAGTAGAGACATTGGATCGGGAGCAAAATCAGAGAAAAAGACATGATGTTTGCTTTTGCAGATGGATCCAGATGGAGATATCCAGTAGACACACAGCATGTGGGACTGGAGAGCAAAAGACAGTTGAGCTGGAACATGAGTGTGTGATAAAAGCACACATTATTGCCTGGTCTACTAAAGGGAGAAGTGGATTTTATTTGTTTTGCTTTGTCTTGTTCTTGACAATTAAAATATTAATAAGTTTTATTTTAATTCCAGAAGTATAAAGAAAAATATAGCTCATAATTCTACTACTTAAATAACCCCTGTTGAAAGGGAGGGAGGATAGTATATACTGACAAAAAGTACACAAAGTTCAGAAAAGTATAAAATGAAAAGTACAGGCTTCCCCCAGTCCTCTAGTCCATTAACTGGTGTTAACACTTTCTTGTGTTTCCTTCTAGGGAATCAAAATGCATATACTCACTGGATTCTGTATATCCCCAAAGGGTCCTGCGATACACAGTTCTTAAGAAGCCCATTTTATTGAGCAGGTTAACTTTCTTATTGCTTTGTCAGGCTTCACAAACCTATCTCTCCTGGTGGGGCAGGTGTGTGCATTGTTCACTGGGGAGAAACAGGATCTTCATATCCCTAGCTCAGGTATGGGGGCTGGCTCAGGGTAGGTGCTCAGTAAAGAATAACTGAATGAGCTGTTGCTGCATCTTGGAAACTTGGAGGCCTTTACCTGTAGTTCCAGTTGTTAAGTGACTTATTCTGCAAATGTTTTCAGAGTCCTGACTAAGTGTCCAGTGCTGTGAGTGTATGCGTGTGGCAAGGGAGGAAGGGCAGAGGATTCAGCTCCTGGACTCACTGGAGGGTAGAACGGGAAAGGCCAGTGATCTTCCATTTTCTCACTTTTTGAGGGGTAAACTGAGGTCCAAGCAGAAGTTATGATTTGCCTTAAGCTACAAGGACTTGAATGATTCATAGGAGTTTGAAGATGGACAAGAAGGAAAAGTGCCAGTGTAGGACACATTGTATACAAAGCTATGAAGTTTATGAGCCAGCACTGGAACTTCAGAATGGTGGAAGCGGGGAGAGGGAGGAGCACCTGGTGACATGTTGGAGGGCCTGGTAAGCTACTCTTGCTTCTTTCTACCCCTTCCCCTCCTGCCACAGAAGTAGCAACAATCCCTAACTCTAACCCCCCAGACAGAAGCAAGATATTTCAGATGCCCAGATGCCTTGGCCCTTGGCCTGTGCATAATGGGTGGGGTTGATTGATACCTTGTACCTATTAGAGGCCTCATGGCTCCTATGAGAGGAAGAGGACTGGACTGGGAGTCTGGAGGCCTGGATTCCAGCACTGGCTTTGCCACACCTATCCTACTGCTCTGTGTGAGTCACATCCTCTATCCTCCGAATGTGGGGTGGGCCTAACCCAACTTCCAAGGTCCTTCCTATCATTATGGCTCTCTAAGGTAAGATGCTATATTTAATTAATTATAGGAAATCCGATTTTAGGATTCTGTGGTTCTAAAATCCTGGTTTTTGAAGACTCTGGGAATGCTACTTAAGGTATATTATGCTACAGAATCCTATGTTGTGAGACCTGTCCATATACATTTTTCAATTTGCGATCAGGGACATACAGACCAGGCCCCTCCCTTCAAAGAGTGTGAAGCCAGACAGGACATTGGAGCCCTCCCAAGTGACCGGCAAAGAGTGCAGAGGAGGCAGGTCAGGAAAAAATGCAGGGACCATCTCAGAGGCCTCCCTCCACACTCCAATAGCCTTGGCAGACATGCTGGGTCTGGCTGAATAACCCTGTTTTTCACAGGAGGAAACTGAGGCTCAGCAAAGGGAACTGAGTCACTGCTTCCAGTCGTCCTGAAGTCTTGTTCTTTGTCCAGTGTTCTTTCTACAGATTGGGCAAGGCTCCCTAAGAAACTGCTGCCTTTGAGAGGAGCCCAGAATGCAGGGGAACCGGGTTTCAGGCTCTGGAGGAACTTAAAACAAATGCGTCTCAACCCCCAGGGCTGTAAACCTTTCCTAGGAGCTCGCTAAAATTCTAGGCACTGGGGTTCCCAAACCCAGACGGATTCACAGATTCAACTGGAGTATTTTTCTAGTTGGGACCCCCAATTCTGTTTTTGTTTGTTTGCCTTTTTTCCTTGGAGTCTGAGACCCTCTAGCCAGGGATTTTTTTTTTCCCGGTGAGAAACACCACAAAAACAGAAAGTAAGAAATGATCTGAGAGCTCGGTTCAGGTCCCAATTTTGCTTCTAACTTGCTGTGAAATCGGTGCGAGCTCTCGAGTGAGTGGGTTGGGTTCTGCCAGAAAACTTTCAAAGAGCTATTACATCTCTTACCTCCTTCTTATGTTTCACCCTTCCCGTTTGTGCAAAAAACTGACCAGGACAGGGGAAGGGTCTTGCCCCGGCCACTAGGAGAGACGGAGGCAGAGCCGGGTTGAGCCAGTTCTGACGCCCAATTCTCTTCACCGCCCAGGCCGGGCCAGTCCCAACGACAGAGGCTAGACTCTGTCACCCGTGGCGCCGCCCCACGGGCCTGGCCCACTCTCTGGCGGCAGGGCGGCGGGCAGAGCTGGGCTCTAGTTGCTACGGCCTGTCAAATGCTCCGTGGAGCCCCGCCCAGGCCCCCCAGGCGAGGAGGCCCCACCCTCGCGCCACGATTGGTCTTAGCGGGGCGGCCTCAACGAGCCAGTGGCCAGAGTGGCTGTCTGGCAGACCTTCGCCCCGCCCCCACCCCCACCCCTCGGGTGCCGCCCCGCAGGACGCTGCGCGGCTGCAGCGGCGGCTGCGGGGGTTGCGGCGCCAGTGGAGGCGCGGCGAGCCGTGAGCCCCGCGAGCTGCTGCGCGGGTGCGAGGTGAGAGGAGGCGCGGCCCATGGCGCGGGGAGGGGGCAAGCGCCTGGGCCGGAGATCCAGGGGCTGCTGTCCCAGCGACGCTCAAATCTGGAGATTTGGGGTGGCGCGGGTAGCACCAAGGGGGAAAGGAGAGTTTGGGGGTTCCCGGGCCCTTGTTCCAGGAGGTTCTGTGGAGGGGGACACAGCGCGCGCGTGTGTGTAGAGTCTGAGACAGTGCGGCTGCTAGTATTGCTCAGTGTCTGAGAGGATGAATGAGAGAGTAGTTTGTGTGGTACGTTGTGTCCCCGAATGTTCAGTTGCAGGGGTGTGTGGTGTGCGTGGGAGTGTGTGTGCGTGGGCGCTAATGACTGCAGGTTTGTGAGCGCGATGGGTTCAGTTTCTCGGCTGCGCGTAGGAGTGTGCGAATCTCAGTGTGCCTGTGATGGGTTTGCCTCAACGGGAGTGAGCGCCCGTCCTTGAACTCCCATCCGGACTCCGAATTTTACAGCTTGGTTGGTGGTGGGTGAACCTCCGAGGGTCTGCGCCAGGACCCGTGGATGCGCAGTCCACGAGCCCTGCGCACGGCCTTGTCCCGGAACGCCCCCGAGGCCAGAGCCCTGCCCCAGGATTCCTCTTTGTCGCCCACTCCCTGTCTCACCCGGTCCCGCAAAGGCGCTCTCTTTTCTCCAGGCCTCAGTTTCCCCATTCGTCTCAGGAGGGCTGGTGTCGGTGGGGGTGAATTTAGGTGTGAGGTGTAGGGACAACGGAGAATAGTCTGTGGCGGCTGCCAGGTGGGACCCTCTATTCTCTAGGGAAGAAAGTGCGAGCCGCTGCTGCTTGGGATCGGGTGGCTTTGTCAAGTTAGGCATAGTGTGTGGCGCTAGCCCATTTTACAGGGAGGAATAAACCGAGGGGTGGTGGTAACCTGCCCAAACCTCTGCCTCAGGACGAGATGGGAGCCGCTCCCCTCATTCTAACGCTCTTGTGCTGTCTCCTCTCCCCAAGGAGCCCGGCGTGACCCCTATCTGTGCGCCCCGCTCTGGCGCCATGCACTGCGAGGTGGCCGAAGCGCACTCAGACAAGAGGCCCAAGGAGGCACCCAGCGCTCCCGGTCCCGGCCGTGGGCCGGCAGGCCTCGGCGCGCACATGGCCTTCAGGGTCACCGTGAGCGGTGGTGGCTGTGGGGATGTGGACCCTCGTGACCTGCTGCCCCGGCCGACAGTGCCACCGCCTCGCGCCCACGACCTCCTCCGGCCCCGGAGCCCCCGAGACTACGGTCAGTCTAAGGCTGCCGCCGGGAAGGGTAAGTCTGGCCCTGCTAACGTGCGGGGCTGCGAGTGTGGAGATTCGGGCTGCCTGGCGTTGCCACCGCACGCCTTTGTAGGAATCCTCCCAAGAACTTGGTGGCACTTCCTCCGAGGTCATCAGTGTCTCTCCATTTGTTTGGTACTAGCTTGTCATTCTAAAGCGATGCCTGTTTAGGAAGCATCTAATTTAAACTCAGCCTATTTTGGGGAAGTGTGTCTTGAAAGGTCAGATTACATAATTTTGCTTATGTGTTTCTGATAAAAGTTATGTGAAATTTGTCAAAATCTTATTTTTGGGATGAATAGCCAGCCACCGCAGTGTCTCTCTCTCTGAGCTGGCTCAAGGCATATTTTAAAGTATTCCAATTTCCCTAAATAACAAAAACCAGAGGACTTCAGCAAGACCCTTACCCTCTTGGGATCTCAGTTTCCCTGTCTGTGGAGGAAGGAATTAATTATACCAGATGATTTCTGGATTCCTGATGGAAAATTTTATGAATCTGTGATATAGCCTGAGTCAAGTTCTGACTTGAAAAATGGCTTTTTTGTACTCGACGGTTCAGAAGCACAGTCTTTTGTAAAAAGTTACTTCGCAATACTCTTCCTCTACCCGGTGAGGCCAGTGGGTTTAAGGTACAGGCCCCAGTACGGTTTATTGGCTCAAAGGCAGTGATGGTGCCAGGATTCTCATGAACATGTTCTCATCACAGTTAATTATTATTGAGCCATTATTTGTAAGGTTCATGCTGACAGATAATTAACTAGAAATTGGGGAATTGTTAAGGCATTGTGCCCCGGCTCCCTACCACCCGTTTCTTTTCCCTCTGGGAGAAAAAGACCAAGGCTTTGGGCTTTCGTTATTTTCGCGTTTGAGACCTCTTGGTTCCATTTCCAGATGCTTCTCAAGGAAGACAAAAACAGTTTCGTTTATCACGCCTTTAGCATCAGCTCCAGCAACTTAGAAAAGGCAGGGCAGCTTACCTTTAGAGAGCTCCTTCTGAGTAAAAAATACCCAACTTCCCAATTCAGGGACTGGCAAGATAAAATAAATGTAAACAGTTTTTTTCCCCTCTTTTTAATGAAAGCACCTGACTTTGTAGGAGGGAGCTATTTCTTATTGTTTTAAATGTCAGTCTCTCTTCTAAGACACAGAGATCATATTTTAGAGGAAAGATATAGAAAGCCACCGTTTAGAGTATTATTGCTGGATTATACATACGAGAATCTCTTGTGCTAGAGAGAAAGGAGTGCTATGGAGCAAGACAAAACGTTTGCTGCCCCGAGCTCTCTGGCTTGCCCCCTCCATACACAATCCTCCCTTAAACAGATATGCTCTTGTAATGTTTTGGATTTTAAAAAATTGTAGTTGTCATCTGAAGATGGAGTCTCCGCAGACCTTGTGAATGTCTGTCAAACATAACCTTTGTTCCAAGCTGTGGTTAGAGACCTTTCATCTAGATGCTTTGCTTATGATCTTCCACTTCCATTCCTCCAAATCTCAATTATTTTTGTCCATACACCTTTCCCTCAGTGTCCAAAATATATCTTTAAGTTAGGATTGTATTTGGAAAGGACAGAAGAGGATAAAGAGTTGTGAGGAGGAATCTCTTTCCTTGTACCATAAGATGATCTTTCTGGTTACACTTTTTGTAAGAGTCTTCTAAACTGTTTTCTTCATTGCCTCTGGCTAGGCTTTATGACACACATTTGAAATACGAAGAAACTGAGGCCTGAGGGTGGGGAGGTGCCTTATACATAAAAGGCTACCCAGCAGGTCTGGGTCAGTTTTTCTGGCCAACTCGTTACACATGGACCTGGGCTCGAAGAGGATTCTAGAGGTTTCTAACCCAGCCTCTGTCTGGGCAACTTCTTCCTTACAAGTAGCTTGAGAGAAAACCAGAGCTCTGGTTCGAGTGCCACAAGGAAACAGCACCTTGTTGCTTCCCGTATTCCCACCAAAATATCTCGCAGACCATATGACCCTGTGAATGTTTGGTGTTTAGCTTCAAGTCTGAGGCTTATTGGAAACAGATAGAAATACCAATTGAAAAATATTTATTGACTGTGCTGGAAATTGTTAGACCCTGCCACGGATGATCTGTGGGACCTTGGGGGAAGTTATTTCACTCTCTGAGCCTTAGTTTCCTCATTTATAAATCTACCCGGAGATTTACTTTGAAAGACTGAGGAGAGAGTTAGCGATCCAGTGTGAAAGGCCAGCGTCAGTGCCTGATTATTTGGGGGAGTTACTCTGTAATGTGTTAAGTGTCCTCAGCCTCTTTTTTAAAAAAAATTTATTGATTGATTTTAGTGAGAGAGAGAGAGGAAGGGCGAGAGAGAAACATTGATTTGTTGTTCCACTTATTGATGCATTCACTGATTGAATCTTAGGTGTGCCCTGACCAGGGATCGAACCCACCACCTTGGTACATTAGGTCAAATTCTCTTTTTTCATTTGCACAGGAGGTAATAATACTTAGCTTCCAGGGTAAATGAAACAATGGTTTTAAGAATGCTTTATTAAAAAGGGAGAAGGGTTTAAAAAAAATTAATTCATGCAGGGCACCATGCTAGAGTCAGTGACACTTGAGGTAAAGGGGATAGGGCAAAGAGGGAGAAAGGTTTGATTTTTAAAATTTTGAATGTGAAGAGCACTAACTGCTCTGCTAGCCATGGGAAGCTGAGAGGAGCAAAGCTTCAGGTCTATTGTGGCCACCGCTGCCCAGTGACTGGAGAGAAGACAGTATTGCTTGGTCTGGAATCAGGTTTCAGATGATCTGCCTTCTGCCATGGGCAGACCCTAAACCGAGAAAGGGAGTGAGCTCTTTAATCCGGCAGCTTGTCTGTGAACGTTGAGGTCCTCTGCGTTTCCAGATCTGGAGTCAGGAGGAGCTGGATATGGTGCGACGTCATGGACTAACATTATCATCATTTACAATAAGAATCACGATCTGTTTATGGCAGAGTCCCGTTTATCCAGATTCCAAACAGCTGGAAAGACCAAATTACCAGATGCTGTGTTTTTCTTTTTTACTATTAAACACCCGACACTCTGCTTTTGGAAGTCCTGACAAGGAAAGAAGGTAAACATCTGGGCTTTATGGAGGCGGTCGGCTTTGTGGTGATGGCCTGATGACTCTCGTTTCCCATGCACGGAGCTTTAGTTTTCAGTGTGTTGCCACACACTCTCTCGTCTGCGCTCACGTCAGCTGTGCTCTGCCTACCTTGTGGGCTGTTTTGGGGGAGCACATGTAGGAGCATTTTGCAGGCTGTAGAGCGCTGGGCAGATACTGGCTCTTATTACTGTGATTCCCATTTTATAGATGAAGACATTAAGGTTCAAGGATGTGCTCAAAGCTGCCGACAGTAAGTGGCAGTTTTCAAGGTTACCTGTTCCAAATATTTGTTTCTGGTTCTACAACTTGTACCTTCTACGTGTGTGTGCTGTTGGCCGAGAACTGGTGTTCACCAAGGCCTCCCGATGGTTCTGAGAGAATTTAAAATATTTTTGCTTTTGGTACTTTTCTCTGTCTTGAATCTTTGCAAATTGGTAAGAAGTATCTATGCCATCATTAGAAAACATCTTAGTTTACCAGATGATTCTGTTTGTTCCCAGACCAAACCAGATAGTAGGTTCACTTTTTAATTCAGAGACTCACAGGGCCCTTTTCACCATATACTGAGACTGGACAAATCCTAGCAGTAAAAAGGGAGCTGATGATCGTGACAAATGTGGGCTCTGCCATTAGTAAACAGCTGTCATTACATGGCTGTAAATGCCAAAAAGGAGTCAACCTTATAACTTAAAAAAAAAAAAAGCTAGAACAAACACACATTTTTGAAGGAAAACACAAGGAAAGCAATTGTAGGTTGTATACATGGATGTTAGGGGCTGCTGGTGGCGAGTTAACGTGATGGTTTTGCAGCGTTACCTGGTAGAGCTTCTTCATCTGAATCAGAAGCCACTGTGATGTTCTGGGGAAGCCTTGGAGGGGCTAGCACATCCGTAACAGAAAGGTATGAGTTATTTTGAAAGCATTACCCCCTCCGGCTCTGGTGGGCAATTTGCTTGCATTTCATCCATTTTAAAGTGCTGGTCCTGTGATCCGGAAATAATCAGATCCAAATTTTTTCGGTGCTTGAGATTTCAAATAAGGGGGAGAGAAACCTGCTGGCCAAATGTCAGGCTGAGTGAGACAAAGAGAAACATGTATGTGTGTGTACACATATGAGATAGCAACATGTTATGCCTACAGTCGTAAGAGTTACATCTCCAACGAATCTTTTATAGGCATATAGTGGAAATACAATTCCCAAAGATCCCCTAAGACTCTTGTTTGGCTACAATTTCTCTCCTTGTCTTGCCGTCCCAGCTCTCTAGAAGCTAAGACTTGGCATTCAAAATGGAAAAGGGACCATCATATGTGATCGTAACTTAATTTAGGCTTAGTTGTTTCTGAGGTCTCAGGACCCTCTTAGCTGTGGAATCATATTGATAGACTGTGTTGCTCTGTCTGTGATTAAAAAACATACGTTTCATTATACTTCATGGTTTTCCCTCACACTTCTCCTGAAAAAAACTAAAACCCACCTCGACTTTGAGTTAATTCATCTCCCTGCACTACATTTGCGTGAGAAGCTAAGTGAGCCAGCGCACTTATTTTTACAGTGCGTTAAAACCCCATTACAGGCATAAGTGCACAATGAATCATTTAAAAAAATATATTCTTATGTTCTTTGTTCTGAATGTTGCATAATTATCATCATTTTCTTTGGTTTTATTTTGTGGAGTTTGGCCAGCATCCGAGAAAAGGGGAGAAACTAAAGTTTGAAATAGGGTTTGCCATCCCTTTTTGGGTAGGATTAGGGGAAAAAACAACAAGCAAATAAATGCCAACTTTATTTGTAAGTTGACCAGTGACTCTCGCTAACTGTGGCTTTTGTGTAGAGAGGGTAATTTCTCTTCTTTCTCTCCATTTTCTTGGAAGAGAATTCC